TGCTGAAGTGCAGCGCATGGATAGGCCTCGGTTCCTGACACGATGTGCTGACAGGACCGGGGCTCTTGGCGGTTTTCTTGACATCATTCCGCATTAGATCTTGGCTCTTGCTGGATCATCGGCATATTTCCAGTAGGGATCTTGTTTCGTTCTAGCAGGCTGGACCTTGGCTCTTGCCGGATTCCTCAGTGAAATGTCGGGTTTGGCGTAGGCTCTTGCTGGATCTCGGTACATATTTAAGGCTGGAAATCTTTTTTTTACTGAATCTCTCGGCTTAGTGTCAGACTGGATCGTGCTTCTACACGACACCAGACTTCCCTTGCACGACATCAGACTGGCTTCTGGCTTCTTCTCTGTTTTGGAAACAGGAACCGAGAGCCGGTCCCGAGAAGAGCGCTATAACCAGGGCCATGTCTTTCATAAACATCTAAATATATAAGCCTTAATCGATGATTTTCTTCTTGAGTAAATGGTGTCCTTTCGACGCAATGTTCGTATGTTATGACGTAGGATGTTCATGGAAGTTTGTTGCACGTTTAAGAGAAGGTGATCAACATTGTCTGTGCTGATGACTTGGTTGCACCGCGTCTGTTACTGGGTGAGATATCTGGCACTGTCCGCGGGCCGAAGAGCGCCGGCGTGCATGTCACACATGTATATCGTAAGATGTGTATGCCAAAAACCACCGGTGCAGCCGCCTGTTTGGGGAATCATAAATAAACCTTCCCAGCCGGTGGTAAGTGACGATTGGCTACTGCCGCGTGGGCCCCGCAGCCAGGTAGCCGCAGACTAAAGCCACCAATTTTGCAGAGGAGTGTGCTGAGCTTCCAACATGAGGCACCATATTTGCCCCCGTGAGAGAAATGCGTAAAAGTGTTGTTACTAGGGGTGGTGCAGCGCGAGACATGTGGTGACTGGCCCTACCGATGGGCAAGTGGTGGTGGATGAAGAAGGCAAGAGTGTGTTTTTGCTTCCTTAGATTTTGGAATGCTCTCCTTACCCAAGCGAAAAAAATATGTGTCACCGTCCGTGTTCATTGATGCAGGTTCGTCGTGTTTCGTATTACGTGTTACAAACAGGCACCTTACACTGACCGTGTTCTTGTGTGTTTCAAAAACGCAGCTGACACCAGCCTGTGCTCGCGTGGAGTGTATTGGTGCTTTGCAGTGGTTGACTCGGTTCTGGTCATGTACACGGTGTTAGTGTTATATATGTGGGTGTCGCAAAGGCTGACCTGGTCGTGGTAGTGCCGGTGAGCTGCAGCAAGTGGCTTGGTTCCAGTCGTGTGTTTGTGCGTGTGCTGCAGATGCACAGCTTGAGCTGAACCAGAAGAACTCGGAGCTGGTGCGGACGGCTGAGCGTCTGCGGAAGCTGGAGACGAGCGAGACCAGCGCCCGGACAGAGGCCGACCGGCTGGCGCAGCAGCTGACCGCACAAAACAGTACGTCGGCGCCACAGCTGAGCAAACAACTGAGGCATTCCGATCATTTTACACACTGCTTATTTTGCCCTGAATAATCAAAGCGCATAGTTTGCTTGGTGGTTGTATAATAGTCCGTTGTTCCACATATTTTGCTCATCACAGAGGATTGTTTGGACTCGGAAGCTTTCATTGATGATTTCACATTTCTTCATTCTATATCCAATTATCCAGCTCGGCCCCCCCCCGCTCAAGTTTTAGAGAAGGGCTCAAGTTTTTCTGGTTTTATTTACGGCCGATGTTTTAAAGCCCCAATTAGGTGCTGGCATCTTGTACTTTTAAATGAATACTATTCATCATAAAGCATTAAAAAAGTACTTTGACACCCCGACTGAATGCGACACGTATAGGGGATCAATTTGGGGTCAATTTGCCGGATAGGGGGTCAATTTGCCGAGCCTGAAAAACAAGAGAGTCAGATCCACAGGGCAAGTGGGCTTATAGATGAAATCACTTGTTTTAAATTTTGAGGGACCTTTAGATCAAATAAAGTCAAACAAGGTCATGCTTCCGTTCGGTGCCCGGGGTGCCCTCAGACCCCATGTAGCCATCTTTAATCCAGATGCCTCTTCTAAGAAAAAGGTCTCTGGTGTTCATTTCAGGCCAGTGACCTTATTCAGCATTTAGGTCATGGTAGCCATACGCATAAGAAATTGATTTATTTTGAATTGAAATGGACGTTAGGGATTACTTGAAGCGATGTGTTCCTAAAAAGCGAAACTTTGATTGGAGTCGGTTTTGGTCAGTGACCGTCTCTGAACTTTATTATATTGAAATAAGATGTCTACTGATGTTCCTGCGACAAAGAATCAAAACAAGCATCAAAAGCTACCACATAAGTCACGTTTCCAGTGCAAAACAGTTTGGCTTTGACCTCAGTCTGACCTTTATACCTGACTCAACGTTCATGGAGACGGTCGTAATCCTGCTAACACCTCGTCGTTGCACCAGACTGAACGATTCCCGGCGGATTGTCTTCACTGCCAGCTGTGGCCTGACTTTTATCTGTCACGGGTCAATGATGTGACAAGACAAACACCAAATATAAGAGTCGAGTCGAGTCAAGAATCAAGCCGAGAATCATATGCTCCTGACCTTGAACGCTGCATGACCAGTGAAACGGCATAATTTGAATGGCGTGATTATGGCGCCATAGATGCCTGGGTGACCTTGAAAAAGTCTGCACGAAATAGTCTGCGCATCTTCGCGGCGTGTAGCCCAGAGACTAGAGGGCCTTAGGTCTTAGCAGGGTAGGACTGTGAACTGCACCGAATGATCTAAAAGATGTTCATTTCGGTTCAAAACCTAATAAATACATGAAAGATTCCCTTTATCTCGTACTCCACATCGATTTCAGAGGCATTGTGCACTTTGGGCACAGGCCATGCCAGTTGAAGGACCTATATAGGTTGTAATTAGGCCATGTCGGACCAAACGCTGTTAAAGATGCATTGGTAAATATGGTGCTACGTTGTGGTTACACTTCTGTGTATTAATTTTTTCTACACAATGTTTTCAATGCCTTATCTCCAAATAATAATTTAATATTGTCCGAGGTCAATGGCACTAAATTAACCTTTGCTTCCGTTTTCAAGTGACATGCTCTTCGGTTTCGTTATGTGTTGGTTTTGTCCATCCCGTAAGTGCGAAGATTGACAGCTGATGACAGCCTGACAGCCCCAGCATGACTCCATGAATACGTACAGTCGACTCAAAAAAGTATTTCATGAGCTGGCATGCGTCGTGCTATACATGGGCTCCCAGGTAACCTGGTCTCGCGTCACTTAACTATGTGGATGTTTCTCACACTGGGAGTTTTAAATCTTGTCAACGCCATGTAGTCAACCAATACATTTGCGTGATGTTGCGATGTGTAAATGCTCCTTTAGGGATACACTAATGATAGAGCAATGAGTTCTAGGGCCGGAAGCGTCACGCCTAAAATAGCTTCACCCCTCCCGACGGGCGACCCTTCACACCCTCGTACGACAAGGGGGGGGGGGGGGGCAGACGGCCTGACTGAGACATCTTATGATGTTCGTAATTGAAACAAAAAGTGATTCAGCAAGAGCCAGTGTGTTTCTTGATTTCTTTTGGCTTCGAAAATTTCCGTTTTTCGGTCTGGGTCAGCTGAGTGATCTCTCAGGTCATGAAATATTTACTAGGGCCGAAATATTAAGTGAAGTGCCTGGCGCGTCGGGTCAGCACCGTGCACCTACGCTCCATGCGTCGCAAAGCGAGTTAATATATGAATCGTCACTACCACAGCGCGCCTGTGCCAACTACGGCACAAAAGGTGCCTGTCGGGCATGACTTGCTTTATATTTCTCTGACCTGACGTACCCTTGACTCAGGAAATCCACTACGACTGGTCGCAATGTTCTTACAATGGTATGAGTATGGTTAATTATAATACAGCATGCGTGCAAGTGTAAATATTAAATATTACATATCAAAGATAAATAGGCATGTTTGGCCCATCTTGACCTCTAACGTCATGATCCCTCACCAAGATACGTAATTAGGTGTGACATTTCAATATCGACTGCATTTTAAAACAAAGTATAGCATGTTCCAGTTGCTATCAAGTGGATATTAAAATGCAGACTTAGCACAAAATCTAACCGACATGACCTTCACGAAAAGGTCTAGATCATGACTTATTGAGAGAAACTGATGAAAGACTGACAGAAGGAGTAAACATGTCATAACCTCAGCTTTTTTAAAGATCGGTCCTCCATTAGCTTACGGTTGCCGCGCTATTAAAAAACCTTGTGGGGTGGAGGCGGGTCAGCCCCCGTCATCGGACGAGGCTTAATGCACATTTAATATATTTAGACATTTTAGACATCGTGTAACGGCTGTTTGTAGCTGTTCATATTTGCGCGATGGCAACTTTATTTTCGAAGCGTTGCCCATGTGATGTTTGCTCAGTCTGTCTTCAGCCTCGCACAAATTTAGCCGATTTGTTGACTGGCGCTTCTATCGGATCTGTCAAACTCTATCCGCTAGCTCCTCGCCTCCTTCGAATAAGACAGCCCGTGGGCGAGGGCCAGCATGTAAACCGGACTCGATAGCGAGGCCGTATGATTGGTCAGACATCGCCGTACTCGATGGGCCACAAGTGGATACGTTTCATAAACATCACCATCGATGTTGAAGCCGAGTGGGAGTGGACACCGAGAAAGCTCAGTGCATTACGTCAGTGTATGACAAACGACTGGCTAAACATCCCCGAACACCCCATAGATTCGGTGAGGAAGGGGGGGGGGAACCTCCAAAACACTGATTTGCCCTCGTTTTGCTCGAGTCCTGTGCCGCAGGTGAACGAGTGTTGATGAGCGGGTTCCGTGCTTCTAGCGTTGCCCCCGTCGGTTCGTGCAGGCGCGTTGCCCAGACACGTCTGAAGTCCTCGGTACGTGTCCACAGAGCAGCTGACGCAGCTGGAGACCCAGCTGGCCACGGCCAAGCTGGCGGTGGCGGCGGCTGCCGCTGCGCCGCCGCCACCGCCACCACCACCACCACCGCCGCCGCAGCCTCCTGCAGCGCCGGCGGTAAACTCTGCGCAGGTGGCGGCGCTCCAGGTCGAACTGAGCACCGTGCGCGAGAACCTGCGCCTGTCCGAGCAGCAGCGCATGCAGGAGATCAGAATGATTCAGGAGGTGAGAAAGGTAGGCGCGTGTCCGACCTCGCGTGGCAGTCCGTCTCCCGGGGGTGACTAACAGGCACGGAGTGCAGCACCGGCCACGCGGCGGGCCCCGACGCTTTGGCTGCTGTGACGTCATTGGGAATAGCCCCACGTTATGCCGGATGCCAGCCGCCGGCGAAAGGTGGGGTCGAGCCGCCTGGCGAGACGGATCAGACGCATTTTTTCGCAGAGAGACCGGTCGTTGTTGCACGCTTGCGTTGTCCTGTCTGTCCCGTGTGTCTTTAAATTTGCGGTTGTAACCCTAGGCTCCAGTTGTTTTTATCCATAGCTTAGTGAACGTTTTGTATTACCGGAACGAGATCACCGTATGCCTTTTCATGAACCTTGGAAAAAGCCATGCATGCGTTTGGTTATATGCTGTTCTGGCAGTTCTATCCGTCTATCATCCTATCAAAATTCATATTTGCAAGATAAATTTGGTCTTCTAAAGCATTTTCTAACCCAAGTTTTTACAGCGAAAGTTGTTTATGCCATAGGGCTGTTTTGCAATCCCAGAAACAACGAAAAACGGAAATTTGTTTGGCCTCATTTGGTGCCGTGTTACTGTCAAAACTTTACGAACATATCAATCGTATAGAGCAAACGGGCTGCAAAAAACACACTTCATGAGTTATGATATACCATGGGCCCAATCTATTCATGCCTTGAACCCAACGTTTTTATGTTCTTATCCACACCATTTCAGCAAGCCTGCGATTTGGACCCCACCAAGCATGGATTGGACCACTTTGACGCCAATTCCCTCCAGTGTTACTGATTAGATCAGTTCGCGTAATTTAACGTCAACAGGGGGACAGCAATGATCATTGCTGTTTCCCCTGTAATGGACATCTACATCAATGTAGATGGCCATCATATGCGTGATCTGTTAAATGACGCACTAGATGAAGGCTGCTGTACTCCAAGCCTCAGCAGACACGTGAGATGTGGTTGAGCAGTATTGTCCCCAGTTAGTAGAGTATTTGCACTCATTACGTGACGTGTTTGTAGAGCTGCCGCCTTGGCCGGATATCTACAAATTGTTGTGCACCATAATGGGTAGCAGGCGCACGTGCTGTTTCTTTGCGCTCCCTGCTTTCTAGGCTCGCCATTACATAGATACGTAGTTGAACTAGTCGGTCTGCTGATGGTGTATCCTCATTACATAGGGGACAGAACCTCTGACATTGAAGACGGCAAACTTCTGTCCATTCGAACCCGTTTTCGACCCCACTGGTATCTCTCTCACGTGCCCTCGGTGTCGACAACCACCCTGATCCGGTTCACCAGTCTCTGACGCTGCTGACTCACCTATGACCCCACAAATTCACTGCCACGAGCTTTGCCTTTCCAACTGCTTAGTCTCTGAATTCCTGTGGGCCCCTCCCAGGTTCAACCAACCAGCCTCTAACTTCCCATGATCCATCCCTCGCCCAGATAACCCGTCACGACCCGTTCGTGACAAATTGGGTCTGTTAGTCACTGGACCCCAGATCAAACTGACGTGTTCCTGAGAAGCCAGGACCGGCCCCTGACAGTGGTGTGTGACGCGTGCTAACCGGAGCACTACAGCATCAGGACCGACTCCTGATCAGCCGCCGGGACCAGCCCCTGACCAGCCGTGATGAACCGTTAGGACCAGGTCCTGACAGTGACATGTGACTGGCGCTGACCGAGGCTCCGCGGCGTCAGGCGCTGGAGGAGGCCCTTCAGGAGAACGCCGATCTGGAGAGCCGCTACCGACGCGACGTCGAGCAGCTGAAGACGGTGACGGCAGAGCGCGAGCAGCAGCTGATGGAGGACCCCGAGGCGCGCCTGCGTGAAATGCAGCGCGACTGGAAGCGGCGGCTGGACGAGCGCGAGCGGGCGGCGGAGGTGGGTGCGGCGGCCCTGGGTGTGGCGGCTGACCGTCCCGAGAGCGGGCGCAGAGGTGGGTGCGGCGGCCGACCGTTCCGGGAGCGGGCGCAGAGGTGGGCGCGGCGGCCAACCGTCCCGAGAGCGGGCGGCAGAGGTGGGTGCGGCGGCCGACCGTCCCGAGAGTGTTGCAGCACTGGTCACCCCTCATATTGTGCTCAGCAGTTGTATGTCAGAGCCGGTGCATACTGCGGATCGTGACGGCTCGAAGTGGCCCCGGCGGTGAGATGTTTTGAAATGTATCCCCTCCTGAGCAGGCTTGATCTAAAAGCAGTCGAATGCTGCCCTCATCGTTCAAACCCTCCACCTATAACGATTTATTGACTGTCGAAGTGCACTTTTGAACGGCCATCATGTTCGCAGACGTCTTACTGGACGCCACGCGAGTCTTGTTTTTCATCAGGATCGCCGTGTGATCTGCCACATAGTCATAAAGTCACCCAGGCCGCACGGTCACACCCGACACAGTCACGCAATGTCGGGTGTAGCCGCGCGGCCTGGGTGACTGTGTGACTATGTCAGGTGTGACCGAGCGGCTTTGGTGGCCGTATGACTACCGGGTATGACCGGACGGCCTGGGTGACTGTAACTATTTCGGGTGTGACCATGCAAACCTGGGTGACTGTGTTACTGTGTCGAGTGTCACTGTGCGGCCTGGGTGACTGCGTGACTGTGCGGCCTAAGTGACTGTGTGACTGTGTCGTGTGTGGCCGTGCGACCTGGTGGTGTCCGCCGGCGATCGGGCCACCTGACGCTCCACTGACGCCTGCCCGGTGGCCTGGTGGTGTCCGCCGGCGGTCGGGCCACCCGACGCTCCACTGACGCCTGCCCGGTGGCCTGGTGGTGTCCGCCGGCGGTCGGGCCACCCGACGCTCCACTGACGCCTGCCGGTGGCCTGATGGTGTTCGCCGGCGGTCGGGCCACCCGACGCTCCACTGACGCCTGCCCGGTGGCCTGATGGTGTCCGCCGGCGGTCGGGCCACCCGACGCTCCACTGACGCCTGCCCGGTGGCCTGGTGGTGTCCGCCGGCGGTCGGGCCACCCGACGCTCCACTGACGCCTGCCGGTGGCCTGCTTCTCCCAGGAGCGGACCGCCGCCGTCCGACAGGCGGTTGAGGTCGAGCTGCAGGCGGAGCTGACCGCCCTCAGCGACCAGCGCGCCGTCGTCGAACAGAAGGCGGGCGAGGTGAGCCCGTCAACCGACCCAGCCGCTCGGGGAACTGTCACCAGATATTTGGTTGCACGGCTCGTTTGCCCGGATGGCGTTGGGGTCGGGTCTGCTGCTACAAGTGGTTTGCTGTGTGGTCACCGATCGCGACATCGAAAATGTCCGGTATTCAAAATCTGGAACCTCTTCTCTCCAGCCTACCAGTCAGAGTACTTATGTTAACATATGTTATGGTACTGACGGAAAATGACTAGTGAGATGGGCAAATGACACCATGGACACAAAGCCCCTTCGTATATGTCATGAGATTTGAGTGCTACATCTATCCACAGTGTTAAGTTACATCCCACGTGACTGATACAGTTCACATTCGAAGAGAGCCCATTGCTCAAACGTTCCGTTGCAACCACGCGTCGATGTTACCCATCACCACGGGGACATGCGCTGCGTCATAGTTTTGTTTTCGCTCTCCCCACGTGTTCACAGTCCTGAGGTTTCACGGGAGTGTTATGCCCTTGGCGTTGGCAGAGAGCCATGAATCACAGCGCTTCGATTACCAAGATTTTCTGCCGTTGGACAAACAAACACGATGCTCTGTGGTGTGGTTGGCTAAGGCCTCTTACTGCGCTGTGGCTTATCTGGAAACACGAATCATTTTCCGCGCGCCAGCGGGGGTGCTTGTTTGATAAATGTTTTATGCTTGGACAAAGGTGCAAGTGGAACACTTCGGATGTGATAGGTTGCCATTTCTTCCAGCTTAGGCTTAGTTTAGCTTTAGACGAACATTGCTTAGTAATCCTTTACACGAACTATTCACCCGGCTCTTGGTCATGTAACATACATTACACACGCTATTCTTGGCAAACAAGCCTATCCGTCTGACCCTTGCAACACTCAGTTCGAAACCCAGTTCATCATTGGCGTCTCTCTTGTGAAACCTATGACGTCTGATGACGTCAAATCACACCTTCATCACCCTCCCCGGCCTATCAAAGCGACGGCTGCTACCAGCGGCTTGGCACGACTCCACATCTGTCCGTCTGCGCAGGTGGTTTCTCTTGGCGCCGGTGCCGCCCCGCAGCAGCAGCTGTGATAAACCGCGCCGGTCCCTGTGTAAATTGAACACACACCAAGATCAGCTAGTCGCCTGCGTTTTCGAAGCGATGAGACAAACACGCCGCCCTGCGCCGCGCGCGTGCTCGCCGGATGTTTTGAGGGTCGGCGGGCGGGCGGGCGGGGGGTGGGGGGGGGGGGGTGAGGGGGGAAGACACACGGAAAGGTTGGCAGCGATGCATCGGCGGTAGCTGAACTTGACCTACGCTATGATCCTGTTGCGGTAGTGTCGTGTGTCAGACAACTCTCTTGTCCAATAATAACCGGATAAACTAATTCGGCGGCTGTCATTCGTATGTACGTCACAGCCGAGCTGCGATTGTCACATGACATTCCTGACTTTATCTATTCGCTTGCCGCAGATTACGGATGCACAGGGAGTTAAAAATTTTGAGCTTTGCGATGCTTTGCGTTGATGAACAATTATTAACTTTACGTCGCTTTTGTTTCGCGGTGTTCTTCATCAGAAGGTCTCTCTACTCTTTATGTCCTGACGGTGCGTACCTGCTTTCGGAACCTTTCCTTCAGGCATTTGATTAAACATTTCATAAAGCCGTCTTTCGCTTGTCCCGCATCTAGGTCATTCTGTGGCCCTGAAATGGTTTCAGGCTTACAACAACGTGTTCTCTTTTAGCGATACACTGGGCGCAAAAACCCGCTGATGTTATTAATGCTACTGTCATTGTCAAACGAAATAACGAAACACCTCATGAAGATGTCGCTTCCTTAACTCCGTCGTGACACTGTTTGTATTCCTGATGCGGTTAAATCTAAATCCTGTTTCTGTACAAACCATAAAAAATAGTCGTTGGTCTCCTAAAGTGCCCCGGTCTTGTGCATAACTTCTTCAATTTTCAAAATCAAAGGCTCGCATGTCGCATCTCATCATCTCTTGCATCTCCCAGCATCTCGCATGATATATCTGACTGTTAACATGACTTTTTAGGCAACTTTCCGAGCACGTAACAATAGACAAGCCCTTTTGCAAGCCGGAAAGATCGAGAACTAAGCGTGACCACTCCAAGACTAAGATTCGATGCGTTGGTCAGCGCTGGTCACTACTGCGAGCGGAACGATCTTACCTCAGCTTCTCTACCCGGCTGCACAGTGCGCCTTGAATCGATGGAAATTTGTACAAACGTTACCAGTTTTGCTTCTCGCGTTGCCGTTTCTTCGCTGACCATCTTTACCTGGGTGTCAGCAACTGTGTTTATCAGTCGAACACATCACACACTGCAGTGTGTGATGCTGCTTCAAATCGACAATGGCAGACGTAGAACTGACATTTTATATGCACACAAATCAACACGCATCCCATCGATATCCGAGGGTCGTTATCTGGCACAGAGTTGAGCGCATAGTGACGTTGCCAACTGGGACGCAGCAGTTTTGATGCCAACGACTTCCTGAAAGTAAATCCGAGGCGCTATTGGAAGGGTCTTCATCAATCACGGTTAATATTAGTGAAATTGTTAGTGATCTTTGCAAAGCTAAGGTAAGATCATTGCTAAGGTACATGTGCGTATGCGTGTGCTTGCGTACGTGCGTGCGTGTGCGTGTGTGCGTGTGTGTGTGGCACATGTGAAAAATAGGCGATGAATGAGCCGTAGAACACGTCATGTACCGACTCGGACTCGGTTTGACCAGAGCTGCTGATCAGTGCAAGGCTTAGTGTTAGGTTTAGATAGTTTCTGCTGCTCGCTTGTTTTGTACATAAAAGGCCATGTTTTGGTGTTCTTTTGGTTAAACAAACTAAAGTCAAGGCCGCGATCACGTGATGTCAGACGACAGGACGGTTATTGCCGGGTATCTTTCGTTGATCCCGAATTTCAGGATCAAAGGGGATGTGCAAGCCGACCGCGATCAATTATTTTATCAGTAGCGTAGGAACGGTCTGGGACTGCACGCCACAGCCAACTTAATTCTGTTCCACCACCTGTTAGCAGATCCTCGGCCAGCATGCAGTCGGGGAGCCAAAATCAACACCGTGATCAGGCTAAAGCGGTCCCCAGATCTGCTATCCCCAGCGGGCCGCAGGTCCGTGAAGGCGACGGCTTCGGAGCAGGCTGGACGCAGTGGTTCCGCTGCCGACCAACAGATGCCTCTGTGCGTCGTCGGCCAGGTGGAGCTGCTGCGCTCGTTCGAGGCGGAAGTGGTCCAGCTACGCGGACTGACACATGAGCTGATGCGCGAGCTGCGCGTCGGCAACCGCCAGGTGGAGATGGCCAAGATGCAGGAGGCGCTGGTGACCGACGAGAACCAACGGCTCAACGAGCTGGTCAGGAAGCAGACCAACACCATCAACAGCATACAGAAGGTAAGCGTGCCGGACTCGGCAGCACCATGGAGGGTGTGCGTGTCGGCCTCGGCAGCACCATGGAGACAGTGCGTGTCGGCCTCGACAGCACCATGGAGAGAGTGCGTGCCGGCCCCGGCAGCACCATGGAGAGAGAGCGTGTCGGCCTCGGCAGCACCATGGAGATAATGTGTGTCGGCCTCGGCAGCACCATGGAGTGTGCCTGCCGTTCTGACGTTCTTTATGACCTAGTGGAGACACTACTGGCTTTTATTTCCGCACGTTGCAGGGTAGGGAGAAGGTGGATCGGGTGAAAACTAGCGACACAAATATGGATTAGCTTTACTTGTGTTTCGTTGGGTGCCCGTGCGTGTATTGTTTCTTAGCATGGTTGAGAGCATTGAGAGGATTTATTGAACTGACGACTTACTGTGTCACGGTGGTGGGGAATCTCGTACTGTAATATGAAGTCCTTGTGACAGATGCACAAGATATAGTGTGTTTGTCTCGTTATCCGCGAGAGAAATTGCACAATTCACGGAGCATTGGTAAGCGCTCAGGCGGGGGTGTTATTATCTATAGAAGATGTATTTCAGTCAAATATTAACTTCTACGGCATGCTTCAACTTTGAGTACGAGGCAGCGCCAATCCGCGGGCCCACCGTTTCCGGCGCATTTTTGGGAGGTGTGGCCATGAACTGCTCGCCCAGTGCACTAGAGTGATTCGGCGACGTGCACCGGTGCCAACAGGAGCTTCAGAAAGCCCGCCAGCAGTCGGAGACGGAGCTGGAGCAGACGCGCTCGTCGCTGACGGCTGAGTGGGAGGACCGGGTGCGGGCGGAGCGGAGCCGGCTCAAGACCGAGCTGGACACCCTGCATGCTGAGGAGAAAACCTGGCTGTCGAGTCGACCCGCCTCCGGCTGGAGCAGGAGATCCAGACGCTGCGGCAGGAGGGCGAGCAGCGGGTCCACAGGCTGGAGCAGGAGGTGAGCGCTGGACCCACAGGCTGGAGCAGGTGAGCACCGAGTCCATAGGCTGGAGCAGGAGGTGAGTACCGGGCCTACATGCGGGAGCAGGAGGCGGATACAGGGTATATAGGCTGGAGCAAGAGGCGAGTAACGGGTCCACGGCACGGGCTGCAGGAGGAGGGCAAGTTCCTGCTCAAGGGCTGAGGCGGGGAGGCGAGCACCTGTTCCACGGGCTGCGGCGGGTGGGAGAGTATCCGTTCCACAGACTGGATGAAGAAGGAGAGCACTTGTTCCACGGGCTGGGGCGGGAAGGAGAGAACCCGTTCCACGGGCTGAGGCGGGAAGAACGAGTACCTGCTCCACGGCTGATGCCAGGAGACCGGCCGAGCGAGGAAGCAGATTGTCATACATCGGTATATCTCCACCTAAGTAGCTATAGAAAGTTGTCGATTAGCCCTCTATAAAAGGTATCAGATTTTGTCTTTAGAGGCTATTTGATATTCCCATGGACTAAGTTAGGAAGCTTGCAAGCTGTTGTACCTATATAATGCAAACAAATAGTCTCATTCCTGTTGTACGACCAAAACACATCCAGCATAATGCTAGAAAATGACTTTGCGTGTACCATGCTGATTATGCAGAACACTGAAGATGGGGTCTACTTAGTTGCCTTGTTACCATTGCGCTCCAGAAACATCCGTAAATGTGTTATGGTATATTGTTGCAGCTGAGCGTAGTCCGAGAAGAGCTCGTGCAAAAGGATGCGACACATCAGGCTGACCCTGAGCGGACACAAAAGGAGGCGAATGGCGCTATTGACCTCCTCAAAGAAAAACTGCAACCACTGAGCGATGCACCGCAGTCCGCGACGACAGTCCAGTCGGTTCGGGAAGAAGACATAGGTGTGTGATGCTTGTGTGCGTGTTATTTCTAGACTATCCGGGTGGATGTCAGCGCCACGCCGGAATTCCAAGAATATAGCACATGGTGCAAGTTGCCCTTATAATAGGATGCGTCTGGTTGTTACATGTCCTTGGCATTGATAGACCACAGGAGAGTAGAGAATCTGGGCATTCTTACAATTTCACAAATTACGTAGAGCAGCTATCTTTTCATGCTTCCTTCATCGAGCTACACGCTCCAGTTGGCAGCACGTTTGTGTAGCTTGGTCTCCCGACGGCAGACTCCTCACCGCTGGCGAACGGACGCAGCAGTGGGACGGACGAGGACGAAGAAGGAGACGATGCTGAAGAGGACGATGACTTTGACGAGGAGGACTCCGAGGCGGCCGGAGAGGAGATTCGGCGAAAGCACCGGCGAGACCTTGGTGAGGTCACCTTTACAGCCGGCCCAGCTCACCGGGCAGCCTCCAGAGATCAGCGGCGCGAATGCTAGACCTGCTTCCGGAGACCGCGAGCAGCAGCTTAAATAAAAGGCCTACCCACGTCAGGGATCAACTGGCCGTTAGGTGTGAACTGATCCCGATGCAGCGCTAACAACCGAAACGACATACCTGACTTTATTTGGGCTTCAGCGCGCTGTGAATGCGTGGTCACGTGGCGTTCATTAAAGAGTCATTTGCAACATTTTGATGTGCTATGTCGGCGAAGATCCAAGGAGTCCTTGGGACATTCACTTATAATCAACTCATACCTGAAGAACAGCACAGCCGGCACATCCTCAGCTGCTCCAAACTGCCGTGGTGTTTTGCTTAGGGCACTGGCCTCGCAATAACGCAACTATATAATTCATAGAAATCACAAAGACATGGAGACGACTCAAGAACACTGTAAGCAATAGCATAATTCAATAAGGCATTTAAAAATACCATTGAAGAAAACAAACAGACGCGGCCGCCGACACCCGTACTCTAAATGGATGTGAGTCATTGAATTGGTATGAGTCATTGAATTGATATGAGTCATGGACTGAGTGTATCATCGAATGGGTATGACTCATTAAATGTGCACGAGTCATTGAATGAGTATGAGTCATTGAATGCGTATGTCGTTGAATGGTTATGATTCATTGAATTGACCTGAGCCATTGAATTGTTATCAGCCATTGAATTGTTATGAGTCATGGCTCACAATCTGCACGTCCCTCAAAGTGAGCTTCAGTTGTAAGTTAACGGCGCGTCCTGTGGCAGAGCACCTGCTACGCGGCAGCCAAGACCAGCGGGCCGCCCTGCAGGCTCTGTTGCAGACATACGAGACCCGCGCGGCGCAGACCCAGCAGCAGCTGCGCATGGCACACGCCGAGAGAAGCCGTCCCGATGCTCAGGTACGGTGTGATCAGGTTTGAGCACGGCTGAGCACGCCCGCTCAGGTACGGCCTGAGCACGGCTGAGCACGCCCACTCAGGTACGGACTGATCAGGTTTGAGCACGGCTGAGCACGCCCGCTCAGGTACGGCCTGAGCACGGCTGAGCACGCCCACTCAGGTACGGTCTGATCAGGTTTGAGCACGGCTGAGCACGCGCGCTCAGGTACGGCCTGAGCACGGCTGAGCACGCCCACTCAGGTACGGTCTGATCAGGTTTGAGCACGGCTGAGCACGCCCGCTCAGGTACGGTCTGAGCACGGCTGAGCACTGCTGAGCACGCCCCGCTCAGGTGCGGCCTAGGCACGGCTGAGCACACCCGCTCAGGCAGGGTGCGAATCAAGGTTGTTCTCCAAGCATCGCGGAACGTGCGCCCCCCCCCCCCCCCCCCCCGCCTCCCACCCCCACACCCATCGGCCGCACCGACAACTCGAGAACGATGGACAATGGCTCACCTCCACGCGGACGAACGTGAGCGTGGAAACGCTTTGGAAAAGACTGTCATCCGGTGTCACTGCAGCTTATCCGTGTATCCGTTTGTCTGGCCGTGTAGCAGTTCGCATCCAAAATACGTTTTGATAGGAAAGCTGGGCACGAAGGTTTGCATTCAAACAACAGGTTAGGTACCATCGGTGCTCCCTTGCAACATGCCGGTTGACACTGGCGGCTTTATTGTTCCTTCTAATCGACTAGCCCAACGAACTCGAAAAGGTCTTGAAAACACCAGAAGAACACGGCTGGGGCTGAGATGTGCTGTTCGATTAACTTTTTTGTAATTTTTAATAATATAATTATAACAAATATATAAATAAGGTAATAAAATAAATGACGTTTTTGTTATTATAATGATCATAATTAATTTATCCGCGATTTATAAACAGATGCAGGTGACAATAGGAACCTAAACCTCCTTAATTACCGCCGAGCGGAGACCGTTTCCGAGTAGCAAAGCTGCGAGCGCCCCAAACGAATTCGCTCGCTTTCCGCCGCACCCCGTGGGGCCTCTAACGTTGACCTTCTCTGGGTGGCCGCATTACGGTCCGCGGCCGGGGTATGTGCTCAGGTCTCGGATCGTTACGCGCCAGTCCCGCGCCGTTTAATGGCCGGGCGGGGCCTGCGCCGACAGTTATCGCATGCCATCCGTCGGCGGGTACGACCCAGACGTCCCGTCGGCTCGAGCACGCCCTGGCGCGAGCGTGGTGCCGACGCCAGCTTGGAGAGTGGTGTGACTCCCGCTTTGCTGCCGATAGACTTGTTGAAGCTTTTTATGTTACGTACTGTGATGCGGCCGCACGCAGATTCAGACCTGTTGTAGCATTTTTTTTAAACTTCGGGCTTCTGTTTTCCTACGTTGTCGTTCGTATCATTGTGGTGCACTTACCGCTCCTGATCAACATATCTTCTGCCCCCTTCTCCGCTAGCCTGTTCTGTCTCCGCTCGTGCTAACGCGCCTCTCCAAAAGCAACAGGTCAAATGAAAAATCTTGAGGTGTGTGTATCCGGACCAGTGGGGCCAACACAGTCCGGTCGGACGGGCTTGCGGTACCGGCGAGACACAGCTGTCGCTCCGATCTAGTGAATGGGGAAATTTGTTGGCTGCTTTGACTTCGTGAGGTGATTTCACAGCTGTTATGACTTCATTACTGCAGTGGCCTAGCAACTCCATAAAGTTGGATGCCCGCAATGACTTGTAAACGGTAATAGTATGTGCACGACTGCACAACTTTGACGCCGTGGTGACTTTCCGAACGAGGATGGTTGTGACCAGGCACCCTGTCCCTGACCCCGCCGCCCCGTGCCCTGACTCCTGCCGCCCCGTACCCTGACCCCTGCCACCCCGTACCTTGACCCTTGCCGCTCCGTGCCCTGACCCTGCCGCCCCGAGCCCTGACCCCCGTCGCTCCGTGCCCTGACCTTACCGCCCGTGCCCTGACCCTGCCGCCCGTGCCCTGACCCTGCCGCCCGTGCCCTGACCCTGCCGTCCCGTGCCCTGACCCCTGCCGCGCTGTGCCCTGCAGCCGGAGCGGCCGGTGGCAGGCGCCGCTCGGCTGGCGGCCGTGCTGACGGCCCTGCAGGAGTGCGGCGACCAGCTGGTGCGGCTCATCGCCGCCCGAGACGAGCAGCGGCTGAGGTCAGTGCGCGTGCTGGTGCCGGCCCGCGTGCGCCAGCTGACCGGCGACCGCGCGCCCTCCTAGCGGCCACGCGCCGCCCCCACACGCCGGGCAAACGGGTACACGACTGCACTGAGCAGTATGCCGGCTACACCGGTATCGATGTTCGAACACGAGGGAGGTCCACGGGCACGGGTAAAGAAGCTCCGCGGGTGTGAACACCACCCCAGCTTGGTTGTCCGTACGAAACGTCAGGCACGGACCTGGGCGTCCGTGGGGAGCTTGAACCCCTGGGTGACGGGTGACGACCGCCTGGTAAAGCACGCAAGGGAGGCTGCTGTGGGTCGGATGGGGGTGATGAACTCCGGCACTACTTCAGACCCTGCCGCCTGCGATCATCTCCCCACGTGCCCAACGCTCTGTGCACATGGGTTCGCACCAGGTGGCTGTGCCCGCACAGTCCGCGCGCGCGCGCGTGTGCCCTTCTCGTGTAGCCTCTGACTGTGACGTCCGCTTCAAGGCCGCGCTGCGTGTTACTGCGCCTGTCTGTATACTCATTAGCTTATAACCAGTGGGCGAGGACAGTAGTTAGTCATGTTCACCCAGAGCTCGCAGCGGTGCCACCCGTCCTGGTGACGGTAGAGTGTAATCAGGCAGCGTCAGGCATCTGCCAAATGTGATCACTGTTCGTTGATAGAGGCACGTTGACTTAGCAAATTTGACGTGTTTTGTGTTATGTGCTCTACTCAGTGGACATTATCGTGAAACATTTTGATAGCGAATGAATAAACCTCGGTCAGTCTGATCTTGTAAGCAGTTGGAAGAATGCACAGAGGCAACGTAGCTGGAACATAAAATGCGCGTCATAACGCTGTCTGCCGGACCATCTGACTTGTAAAAAGTTGCTGCGCTGCTATAGTGGCTTGCCGTTTGCTTTGACAACAGTTTCAGTTCGCTCAACTCAATGATCTGGTCGTCGATTCAAACAAAAATCAGCATATACCTTATCCTACCCTCGAACAGACCGGTTCAGTGCACATGCTGTTGGCTTCCCGACAGCTCACTGGAACTCAGCTTCTTCTCCCAGTTTGGGATCCTGGGAGCCATACCTTGTTCCCACTCACGAGCAGCGCCGTCTTGTCTACCACGCCCTCCGATGCGCCTAACACTACCAGGGAGCCGACAGCCTACAAACACTGCGGTCCACGTCCATTCTCTCTGGTGGCTGGCTCCTTGCGCAACTCGCTCATAGCCTCACACTTTCTCTGCTTCACTCGACCTACGTGGGTCTCCATCTTTCTTGTCCTGAAGTCGCATTGCCCTCATTCTTCAAATGTCCTCATGTGCACCGACGCAGTCCCTCCCTCGGACCCGCACCACTGCCGCTCCTTCGCAGTCTACCGTGCACCGACGCAGCCCCTCCCTCGGACCCGCACCACTGCCGCTCCTTCGCAGTCTACAGTGCACCAGCCGCGTCCCGAACGATAGTGGCCACCAGCGCAGGTGCATGCTCAACAACTAAAGCGCATGGGCAGAGGCAGTCGTTCGGCAACGGTGGTCAAGGAGCTGGACATAGCAACGAAACCCCTGTAAGCTGCTTTGGGTTTTGCATGGCTCCATTCCAAGTAAAAGCAACAGCTTAACTCACAGTAGCATGCCGCACGTGTATTTCCTATCCTATGGCTTTGTGGTGTCTTAACGCGCAGCGTTCTCAGTTGCTTTCGTGATTGTACTTCGTAAGGTGGATGTCTTATGATTAGTGTAGGCACACCTTGCATATATATTTATATGCATATGTTTATTCATTTATATGTTCATATATATATATATATATATATATACATATATATATATATATATATATATATATATATATATATACGCATATCCATTTGGCACGTAAAACTCATGCTACACATCAGGGTGCCGTGTGGTTCTACAACGCGACATGTCTTCCAATAAACCTTCTGTGCGTTTTCTCGCCCGTGCATGCGGCAGGCAAACACTGAAGTGACTGCTTTAGCGGATTTTTTACCGACGTTTTAGCTTGACTTCGGTTTTTCATTGTCCATCCCATCGTATTGATTTAAGGCCCGCTTTCCTATCTTCATTTGCAGCTTTTATTTTAGCTGTAGCTCATTGTATTGTTGTCTTCATCGCAAACAATAAAGGCCATTTTTTTAACACGCGCCCGGCTGGCCGGGCTAGATACCCTTCGCTCGGGTGGGGGCGGGGAGGGGGGGGATTTGACCCCCTCCTGAGATATCGGAAACGAAAAAAGCTAGAGACACCAACTTTACGGGGTGTGGTAACCTGTACGTGGACTCGCTTAGGTCAAAGTTTCAGGTTCCTAGGTTATGATCTTCGAGTCAAAAAAGATCAGACAAGGTCAAGTTTCAGGTTGGTCTCCAGAGTGCCCCCAGAAAGTTAATAACCGTTTCTAAGCGAAAGGTCACATCCTCATTTAAGGTCAGTGACCTTGTTTGACCTTTTGAAGGTCAAGGTGACCAAAATCATACAAGATTGCTTTGAGTTTTGCATTTGACTAAGCGACAAAGATTACGTTAGGCAGTATGTGCCTAAAACAAAATATTGACCTGGGTCATCGTATGCCAATGACCTATTCTTACCTCTAAGTAGTCCATGGAAGATGTAGAATGCGGTTCCTGCTATCAATAAATTCGAAATGAGCACCAGAAACCATCCCATACAGCAAGCCCCTAGAGCAACAAAACAGGTTGCTTTTGACCTTGGTGTGACCTTTATACCTGACCTTAGGTCAATGCAATTTGATCATTCAACTGTTGTGTTGCCTGAGAAAGCAGCATCTCAGAGATGTATGAATTCGTCTGACATTCCGTTGCTGGATCAGATTGAAGGATTCCTTAGGAATTGCCTCTGCTGAAACCATGGCCTGGCTTTGACCTGTTATAGGTCAGTGATCTTAGAAGGGACACCTAAATTTTTGATACCTAACGATCCGCTATTCAATTGTCCACAGCTAAGCAAAATTTGGCGTGGCTACGGCGCGCCGTTCGGAAACCATTTTGGAAAAACCTTCGAGGGGGTGGTCAGTTTGACCACCACCCGAGCACGTGTTAAAGCACAGAGGGTGTGAACTAATGATGTAAATCTCCTCGAAAACAGTCCCTCGTCATCCTTTTACCCTCATGCTCTTACTAATACCTTGCCTTTATGGGTAGGCTTAACACGGCATTGCAACTGCGACACAACTAATCGAGCTACTCAGCGATTTTGATTCAGATTTCCACGTGCTTTTAGACCCTGGGGTTGGATGCTATTTGGTGGCATGCGTTTTGATCTGATTTCATGTGAATGTTAAGTGATGAATATAAGACGTCTGACCTCTGTATCTGATGTCGGATTTTTGGTTCCTATTACACATGGACCCGGATGGCAGCCCGGAAGACGTTATTCGGTTTTTGATGGGTCAGAAGTCGTAAGGGTATATTGTGATAAAGAAGCCAGCCAGAGAAAGCACAGGGCTCTGACCATGGGGCGCCTATGGCCGGAGTGTCGCCGATTTGTTGGGTTCATATAGGGTAAAACTCGTTCCTGGAAAATTACGTCGGAACCTGTTTTCGGAATGGCATTGAGCAACTGTGAAATATAGTCCTACACAACAAAGGCTACCCTAGTTTCTTGCCGACCCCTCAGTTTACGCGACTTTTTTCTTTCCGTGTTCACCACGAAAGACAACAGAAAATCAGTTACTCGAATTGTGAGCTAGAATGATGGTTGCTATGTATGTTCTCTCCTTAGTGACAGGCTTGCGTTTATTACAACCTGAGCACATTGCACAGCTGTTTGTTGTCTATATTCAACACGCTGCATGTACAATATATCCATATATACACATCTATATGCAATAACACGGCTTCTATCCAAACCGAAACGCTCGATCGGCTCTGTGTTTTTGTTCGTTGAGCGATGGTGCATAACATTGTATTTGAGCTGTGTTGCGAGATACGCTTTTTATGCCGCATCTTCTTGGCATGGGCAAGCCTCGGTTACGCTTTGTCTTTGCTACCCAATCATGTAAGACCATAGGAGACCAATGATAATTTTGTTATTTTTCCTTTCAGTGCGTAATTTTTTATTCTGAGTATTGAGCTGCGCGATGCGTGCCAGCTGATGTCGACTTCAATTTAGTGACACATGATTAAAGTCGACATACGGTACATCCAAGCTCATAGGCCGTGCAGGCTAGCAGCCCGAGAGGGTGACACAATCTGACCTGACGGTGGTGTTTTCGCCAGGGGAGTCCGTCCGTGCAGCTGAGCTGCGGCGGTGCGAGCTGTTGGAGCGACCTGCGGCGGCGGCCATCGTCTGGAGACGACACCCCAGCTCGGGGGGGGGGGGGGGCGGCGCCGGCCGCAGCGCGCTGGCTCAGACAGCTGGCAGTCGCCGGCCGGCTCGGCCGACATTGCCATGCAGCACGCGGCCCCGCATCAATGCCGGCATCCTCGGCACGTCATAAGCCGGCGGCCATATCGGCCGGCGAGCCGCCCGCTCCGCCAGGAGGGGGCGCCTGCCGCGGATGAGCCAGCGACCGGAAACGGACGGCTTCCGAGTGGACACGCTGCCGATGGAGGCTGCCGTGTTGGTGGCTGTCGCGGCTCGTCAACCTGGCCAAGGGTCGATCACTCGTGTTGTGCTGCGTAGGCGCTGTTGAGCTTGTGTGGCGCCAGTGATCTTCAGGCCTGCTGCTGCAGTCGTGCGCGCATGGATGCGCCTCTTTGTACTCTCTTTTATACCGCATAGGTTATGACTAGAACAAGCTGTGTGTTTGTGCAGACCGGACGTAATGGTTGGTCTTTCAGTGAACGCCCGGTAGGGTCAAAGAAATCTACGTGTCTTGATACATCCAGGCCATAACTAAATCTTGTTTTTTGTGGGGGGGAATAAATGAGTACTGAGTTTGATGCCGGAACAAAATTGCAGCTGCTGAGGCGAAGATAGAAGAGATATTGTGGCAGAATGCCAACAGGAAACTACCTAAGCTGTAACAAATATTCAGACCAGTTACTACGCTTTTAAATTCTGGAATGGCCAGTATGTACCACTACGAATATGCAAGAGACCAAGAACTAAGCAGAAAATAACACAGATGGACGGTATTTTCAGGATATTTAAATGGGCTGGTAAGAATGGACGGGTGCCTTTGGTTTAGTGTATCCTGTACTGGTTCGGCATGAAATGACAAACAAACAAAAACGCATGACAAGACAGCTGGTGATAACGCAGGCGGTATCGCACACGGTGCGTCGTCGGCGACGACGCACCGCCCACCGGCCGCCGAGCTGTCGCTGGCAGCAGCGCCGATGACGTCGTCAGCGGTCGCCTTCTGGGGGTGCTGCGACGCGGCCGGGCCCGCTGCCAGACTGGTGACGCTGGTCGGTGGCGAGCGAGATCTGACAGCGCATCTGACAGGCGGTGATTGGCTCGGGTCCGTCTCTGGAGGTGGCTTATATCCCGGGCTGCTCAGCGGAATAGCGTGACCTGTACGGTACCGCAAGGCATTTCACACAGATACCTTGTCAACCGGAAATCAGACATGTTGCACTAGTGGGTGTCAGGAACACCACAAGTACGTAACCGGTAAAAGCTGGAAGATCTGTGTATGTCGGGGACATCAGCCTTGCTTTCGACGTTGCGCGTGGAGCCTACGCTGGATCTCCTGCGTGATATTTGCCTTCTGAAACAACTTTCATGCCGCTGTCAATAACACAGCGGCAGTGTACGGCACAACAGCAAACTGGACGAACGTTCCTCATCGGCTGTGGCAGCAGCGCCAGCCGTCCGTGGCGCGGCCGTCCAGAGAGGAGCCGCTACCTCCAGTCCCTCCCCCCCCCCCCCCCCCACACACACTCACAATCCCTCTGCCGGTGGCGGGGAACCCGCAGACACGTGTCAGCCTATCACCCGAGGTCGACTCCTGGCTCACGCTATGTTCTCGTGAAAGCGAGATACTGGATCCTGGTTCTATCTGGTTCTTTCATGAATACTCACTGCTGGTTCCTGGATCCCATTCGTTGTTTTGCAGACACCGAACTGAGTTCCTACCTCTCATTGGGTCTCACTGGGCCTTTCAAGCACAGGAATGGTGTTTCTGGCTCCCGGTGGCTTCTTAACAAAACCAGCGCGTTTCCCATTTATTTTCCACAAGCACCCGATGTTTGTTCCTTGTTCTCGCGGGCTCTGTCACAAACATCAGGCTCGGGTCACTTGTTTCTGATGATTCCATCACACGGACTTGAATCTGTTTATTAGTTCACCTGAGCTTCCCACAAGCATCAGGTCTTAGTTTTTGGTTCGGGTTTTTGTGATCGGCTCACTCATAAAATACCAGTTCCCGGCACTTGCTTCTAATTGGATCAACCGTGAACACCAGCTCAGTCTACTAATTGCCACTTATCTACCATTGATAGCATGCCGCCTGAAACGAACGAGGCACGTTGATTCAAGTGAAGCAAGAACGTGTCATGCATGTCCAGCAACGCATCTCCCATACAGTGATATAGTGATATCAGTCATAACGGAATCACAGCGTGGTCAAGGCGGAACTCGTGAAAGTCATGTCTAGCAATGTCTATCTCACTTAACCCAAGCAAGCTGCACGCGCCACTTGTTATTATTTTCTATAGTATCCGGCTGACAAAACCGCAGGTTTCATCACATGCCGGTGGCATATAGATCAGGCTTCAGTCAGGTATCGGTGCCTGCTGTTCAAGCCGGTTTGGCCGAGCGGTGGGCGCCGTGGGAGCCGCGGCCAGCGCTCCGAGGGGACCGTCGCCATTACACGCAGAGTGGACCACTGCTCAACTCTGCAATGGAACAAACAAACGGGGCAATGATAAAGGCTGCCAAAGGTTGGCTCTGGCTGACATCCGTCGTCACTTGGTGGTTTCTCGCCGCCCAGTCAGGTTTGCTTGAACTGTGCTTGAACTACCCGGTATGCCTGGAACGATGTGTTGCTACAATTGTATAGCA